ATTTTTTGTTAAGTTTAATTATATAATATCTGTTATGAGTTTCTTTTGTTTTCAGAGGCGTTTGTTGTTTGTCAGGGCTATGCTCCACCAGAAGGCTACCAACCCAATATGTCCAATCCACTTCTGGATCATCGTTATGGTAACTACCTCCATCAGGTCATGGTTAAAATTGATATTACAAGTTTGTATAGGATAATCACATATCATAATACATCATACTTTGGTATTAATGTGTTTTGTCAAACTTTCAACGTTTTGGGTCAATTTTACAAAAGAATTTGTCCTTATGTAAGTCACAAATAATGTCATGAAAATTTCAGTTGAGATACATTTCATTTTGTGTTTCATCAGATGTAGATTTTAACAATCTGGAGGGTCCTAACAGGGTCATAGTTCCTTTCTTGGCTTGTGGAGACCTCAGTGGATTTGACTCGGACAGAACCTACCCACTCCAGGTAAGTGTTATTATCTCCCTTTATCTATCATCACCCAAGCCTCAGTGGTAAAAACTGTTTTTATTGGTACTTGGAAATAAATACCATTTTACAGTCAGTTATCCGAAGGATATGGTCAGTGATCAATTTACAATTTATTTTCCTGAGTCCATTTCAACTTGATGGCTAAAATGAAGGGGTCCCACAATTGAAAATTGAAGTATTTCAAGAAGTTCTGTAAGTCCCATCAAAATTCTACAAGTACATTACTGGAGATTTGCCTGTATATTGATCACTGTGTGATGCAAGATCATACATACTTGTATACTGTGATATATGGTCTTATACCACAACAAATTTTACAAAACAAAATTGTTTTGGGTTGGTGTCCATACTACAAAGTGTAATTTAAGAGTAGCAGTAGTTGAATGAGATGTGGCTTATAATTTTCTGTTAAATACCCATCAGATATGCAGTAATTGACAGTCAATGGTACAGATAGAATGAAAGTAACTGTCCAAGTAGAGATCAATCTGATCGTTTGGTGTCAGTGTTAATTGTTTGGCAGGTGAGTGGTTAAGGCATCAGACCATCACTAACCCTCCACCTCTGGGTTATGGCTTTGAGGCCTATATGGGGCATTTGTCAGGTACTGGCTGCAGGATGGTATTTTTTTCTGGGAATTTCAGCTTTCTCCCATCACCCAGAATTGGCAGGTCTCTAATTGATTGACCCTGGCTGTTAATGGGACATAAAACACCAATAAACCAATTACTGAAGGAGAAACCTGTAGGTCTCTTACAGTATGCAGTAAGGGCTATCTTCACACTGTGAAAACAAGTACTTACCCAGAGCTAGAAAACTGCTGTATTACATCTTGTGCATAAAATGCACATGGAAACAGTAATGGAATGTTATTGTAAAGATTTGGTTATCCTGATAAAGGAAAACACCAGTTCATCAAATTTAAGATAAGAAAGTTTCATTCTGAATTCAGTAAATTGAGCATGTGCAATATAAATGTTCAATGTGAGTTTAAGGCATGGAAAACATCATGTACATAGAGGAACTGTATCAGCATCTGAAACATTCAACTTTGTTCACTTCTGTAAATCAAACTTTCCCTAAACCACCCAATGTCCATGCCCCTTACATAAACAGCTTGCTGAAATTTCACTGTATGATATTTGCTTGACAACTTGTGGGAGAGTTTATGAAAATGTTTTTTTGTTTAAAAGCTTGAAGGAGTGAAATGAATCATTGTTGATCGATACACAGCTGGAGGGTGATTTGAGAGAAATGAATATCTGTTTTTTGTTTGGTAGCTGGAGGAAGGAAAGGGTTATGTCTATCATCCCCCTACACAGTCTCCCATCAGTCCTCCATACAAAGAGGCATGCCATCTTAGAAAGACTGACCAACTTGCCAAGCAGGAAGTGCAGACAACTTGTCCTGCTGCCAAGGCAACTGTAAATAACCAAGACATCGCCATGGAAGGAGCTTGTGGTGGTGAAGAACATTCTCACAAAAGTGATAATAATAGAACTGATGATAACATTTCGTGTGAGGAGAAAATACCCCAGGACTTATCTGTTCAATCACAGCTAAATGATATGACTTTAGATAATTAATTGATGTTATGTTTATCATTAATAAAAACAAAACAAAAAGCATACATAACTATACTTATATTTTGGCGAACTGCATCCTGTATAAAGTTACAAGTTGTTTACCATCACTGTGTGACAGTGTTGTAAATTCATGTTTAAGGTTTATCACACAGCTGTGAGATATGTCTCAATTATTCACACAGAATTTCAAGTGGAATCTAGTATTGTGGTGAAACTCTTTGAATGTTACTTGATTTCATCAAAAACTTCTGTTTCATGTTTGCTGATCGCAATGTTGTCCAGTCCATGGCTGGGAACAGACACACCGATACATTGAGAATTCACGTCTGGTCTGTAAGTCCGAACCTACTTGAAAGTCTGTAGTTCTGTTCTGTTTTGTAGGCCAAGTTGTTCGAACACAGTGTCCATGACGATTACACCACTTTGTATGACACTGGCTTGCAAAGCTGGTAATGGTATTGATATAGGGCCCAAGTGTCTGTTCTAAGTAGTCCTTCAGAGAAAGACAATCAGACTTGTTCTTGAGGTTTGAGGAGCTATCCCACACTACCACACCATCCAACCCAGCATCAAAGGACTGGCCAATAGTATTCTCCAGGTCAGGCTGTCAACAAGATAAAAACTGTCATCCATAAGTCAATTCAATGGCAGGATAAACTTGATTATTAATGGATTGTTGTTCACATATCAACTTATTTTGCAGTTTTGCATTTCAACACAAATTTTCTATCTAGGTCTATTCCAGTAAATTTTCTACTTGATCCTGGGATTCCAAAATACATTTCTTCCAGTCTATTACTTCTAAGCAAATTATCGATCAATACCAGATATCCTGGGATGGGATAGATGTTTACTGGATTAGCCCTAAAATAGATGTTTTACAGGGTTAGTCCTAAACAAAACCTGCAGTCCTGGGGTAGAATAGATGTTTTACAGGGTTAGTCCTAAACAAAACCTGCAGTCCTGAGGTGAAATAGATGTTTTACAGGGTTAGTCCTAAACAAAACCTGGAGTCCTGGGGTAGAATAGATGTATTACAGGGTTAGTCCTAAACAAAACCTGCAGTCCTGGGGTAGAATAGATGTTTTACAGGGTTAGTCCTAAACAAAACCTGCAGTCCTGGGGTAGAATAGATGTTTTACAGGGTTAGTCCTAAACAAAACCTGGAGTCCTGGGGTAGAATAGATGTTTTACAGGGTTAGTCCTCAACAAAACCTGCAGTCCTGGGTTAGAATAGATGTTTTACAGGGTTAGTCCTCAACAAAACCTGCAGTCCTGGGTTAGAATAGATGTTTTACAGGGTTAGTCCTCAACAAAACCTGCAGTCCTGGGGTAGAATAGATGTTTTACAGGGTTAGTCCTAAACAAAACCTGCAGTCCTGGGGTAGAATAGATGTTTTACAGGGTTAGTCCTAAACAAAACCTGCAGTCCTGGGGTAGAATAGATGTATTACAATGAAGTTTTTTTCTGACACTTTTCTTACAGAAATGATTTTAAAAAGCTCTTCTGCTCTATCAAAACCAACACAAATTGGGGCCATAAGTGTCAGATTCAAATGTAGGTTTTATTGCTCTTGGGGACAGCTGGCTTTGGATGTATATTATATCTTATAATCTACTACATATTATAATAACATACCAGGTTTGATAATTAAATCAGTATTGGCAATATTATTCTCCTTACGGTAATGTAAAAGTCTTCCTGTCTGTACCGATATCTGGTGTAGGCATAAATTGACTTCATCCTGATCGGTTTGCAATTACGGCATAGTAGCGACTCCCTCACTCTCAATGACTCCTTGATGATCCCTTGTACCCTTAGGGCCCTGTCCTCAATAGTCGGGAACAAGTCTTTATCCAGGTAGATCGAGGGAAAGAGTGCTGAACTAGCATTAAACAGCCAGGACAGTCTGGATACAAAAATACAGTCATTTTTAAAGAAAGAACAAGAAAGTCTTCAAAACGAAAAAGACAAACAAAATATAATATGACAATTAAAAGAATTGACTCTGAACAAGTTTGGTGTTAAGGATTCAATCTTTAATGACCTTGAATAACCTTGATGACCTTGACCCAGAAAGTCTACAACCAATTTGTATGGAAACATTGTTGAATTGATATTCTAAATCACAAGTGGTAAGAAAACTATGTGTGAAGGCAATACTGACACCTTCATCACGCAGGGTAGTACATGTATACAGTGTACGAGATCGTAATGAAATAATTTTAATTTCAGCAACCAAAGAATTCACCAACAGTTTTCATGATAAACTTAGCTTTCTATACAATCACATTGGAAAGGAAAGTAATGACAAGCAATGAGGAGAATTGTAATTTATTACATAACAAGCTTGAAACTTAATAAAAATTTCAACAAAAAAAGATGGAGAAAACGTCAGTTTAGAGTCAATTGATTGATAAGTTGGGCACTGTGCCTTCAGTGTGGATACCAAAAGGTATGTCAGGGCAGTGAAATAAAATATCAAAATAAATCCAAGTAAGTTTCAATTTCAACACACACCAAGCATCACCATAAGTTGGATATTTGTTGGCCACATCAGGCTTAAACAAGGCCCTGATGAAGCCTTGCACCGGAGGGGGGAGGGGGCAAAAATTAGTCGGCCAACAATAATAAATATCTCACACACTGGTAATGCTTGGTGTGTGTTATAATTGAACTTGCTTGTATTAATTTAGATAAAAATATGTCAGGAAATAATGAGATTGATACGGACAGCAATAAAATCTGACAGTATTTCTTGTTTCAGTATAACAAAAAAGTTTTTAATAAAAGGTTGATCAACTACAATTTGTATGCATGTATACTACTTACCTATGATAATGGCATTTTTGAAGAGCTGGCAAAATTTATAAAAAGTAGTTACATGTACATGTATACGAATTATTATATAAGTAAGGAGGTGGGTAGGGATGGGAGGGCAATGATTTGATTTCTAGAAACACTCTTATATCCTGATGAAGGCAGGCAGTGTCCCAATACTATAATTAGGTTTAGACGGTCATATGGATATGAGTTAAGCTGGTCTCAAAAATACATGCTTTCTATTAGATGATTTGGTTTACCTGTTATATTGAATTTGTCTTCAGACTAATCTGAATCATCAAGACTTAACCCCATGGAAATTGAAATAAGGTCTCAAAGCAATGTCAGCTCAAAAAAATAGATATAAGTGATTTTCAAAAATTCTCTTTTGACTTGAGGGCATAATTTATAATTGAAGCAAGAATTAGACCTAATAATTAATTCCAAGCTGAGAGTATTAGTGGAAATACCTACTCATTATTATATTGTATTGTGTCGTTGGCGCATTGATCTTGTCCTAGCCGGTAGTTGTAACACCGTGGAAATCCATAATATCCCCATTTGCCATTCCCACGTATCCCTTTTGCTTTCCATAATGTCTGGTTCATTAGCAATCTGTTGTGAAAAAAATAATCAATATCACAGGTAAAAACAACAACATCTTGGGCAAAACGACATCTCCGGTAAAACAATACCTCAGGTAAAACAACATCTCAGGTAAAACAACACCAGGTAAAACAACATCTCTGGTAAAACAATATCTCAGGTAAAACAACACCTCAGGTAAAACAACACCACCAGTAAAACAACATCTCAGGTAAAACAACACCACAAGTAAAACAACATCTCAGGTAAAACAACACCACCGGTAAAACAACACCACAGATAAAACAACATCTCAGGTAAAACAACACCACAAGTAAAACAACACCACAGATAAAACAACACCTCCGGTAAAACAGCACCTCAGGTAAAACAACACCACAGGTAAAACAACATCTCAGGTAAAACAACATCTCAGGTAAAACAACTCCTCAGGTAAAACAACACCACAGGTAAAACAACACCACAGGTAAAACAACACCACAGGTAAAACAACATCTTAGGTAAAACAACACCTCAGGTAAAACAACATCTCAGGTAAAACAACTCCTCAGGTAAAACAACACCACAGGTAAAACAACACCTCCGGTAAAACAACATCTCAGGTAAAACAACTCCTCAGGTAAAACAACATCTCAGGTAAAACAACACCTCAGGTAAAACAACATCTCAGGTAAAACAACTCCTCAGGTAAAACAACACCACAGGTAAAACAACACCTCCGGTAAAACAATATCTTAGGTAAAACTACACCTCAGGTAAAACAACATCTCGGGTAAAACAACACCAGGTAAAACAACATCTCTGGTAAAACAATATCTCAGGTAAAACAACACCTCAGGTAAAACAACACCGGTAAAACAACATCTGAGGTAAAACAACACCACCGGTAAAACAACATCTCAGGTAAAACAACACCACCGGTAAAACAACACCACAGATAAAACAACATCTCAGGTAAAACAACACCACAAGTAAAACAACACCACAGATAAAACAACACCTCCGGTAAAACAGCACCTCAGGTAACACAACACCACAGGTAAAACAACATCTCAGGTAAAACAACATCTCAGGTAAAACAACACCTCAGGTAAAACAACATCTCAGGTAAAACAACTCCTCAGGTAAAACAACACCACAGGTAAAACAACACCTCCGGTAAAACAACATCTTAGGTAAAACTACACCTCAGGTAAAACAACATCTCGGGTAAAACAACACCAGGTAAAACAACATCTCTGGTAAAACAATATCTCAGGTAAAACAACACCTCAGGTAAAACAACACCGGTAAAACAACATCTCAGGTAAAACAACACCACCGGTAAAACAACATCTCAGGTAAAACAACACCACCGGTAAAACAACACCACAGATAAAACAACATCTCAGGTAAAACAGCACCTCAGGTAAAACAACACCACAGGTAAAACAACATCTCAGGTAAAACAACTCCTCAGGTAAAACAACACCACAGGTAAAACAACATCTCAGGTAAAACAACTCCTCAGGTAAAACAACATCTCAGGTAAAACAACACCTCAGGTAAAACAACATCTCAGGTAAAACAACTCCTCAGGTAAAACAACACCACAGGTAAAACAACACCTCCGGTAAAACAACATCTTAGGTAAAACTACACCTCAGGTAAAACAACATCTTGGAGTATTTTGTTTATTGCTTTCTCAAAAAATAAGGAATATTTTCTAATTGGAAACATCACCACAAGACAGCTTAGCTGGTTATTGTTATTAGGACATTCTTAACGACCTGTCAACACATAAAAGGTCATTAAGGCCATCAACTAGTAAAACACAGTGATCCAAAAAGGAAATAGCATTAAACAAATTAAAAGGTAAAAGACAAATGCTAAAAATCTTATATGGGTATTATATCACAAAAGAATAAAATGGTACATCATAGTGTATTATATAGGCCAACATCTTTCAGGTTATGTAGAATTTAAAAAATCCAAACAGTTTCAAAAAGGGTTTTTAGACACAGGTGTTCATATGCGTATTGAAATGACAAAAGTTCAACAACCCAAGTTCCAAAGGTTCGAAGTTTTATTTAACATAATTCACCAGGTATGGCTCCACGAGAATAACAACAGGATACGTTACAACTATAGTAAAACAGTGGACCGACGACCCGTCACACTGGTGTATAACTAAGTAATTTTCTTGGCGAAAAGTTCGAAAGTTCCTATAACATTTAAGTTTCATATGGCCGAATGTTAGCCGGAGACCGCAGGTTGGCGTCAGTAAAGGTTCTCCGAGCTGACTGTGAGTAGCCGGAGACCGCAGGTTGGCGTCAGCAAAGGTTCTCCGAGCTGACTGTGAGTAGCCGGAGACCGCAGGTTGGCGTCAGTAAAGGTTCTCCGAGCTGACTGTGAGTAGCCGGAGACCGCAGGTTGGCGTCAGCAAAGGTTCTGCTTGTGAGTAGCCGGAGACCGCAGGTTGGCGTCAGCAAATAGCTGACTGTGAGTAGCCGGAGACCGCAGGTTGACAAAGGTTCTAGCTGAACTCCGCAAGTCTCCAAGGCTGCTTTTATAATATCTGTGACATATGAATGGTCAACTCCCCTGCCCACAACATTCCAGCGGGAGTCAGCATACCTGTTCTGCCCCAGGTCGGCTGACCTGTATCTATACAATCAAATTGTGTAAATGAACTAATTAATTTTCTTCTGCCCCAGGTCGGCTAACTGTATCTATACAATCAAATTGTGTAAATGAATTGTATCTATACAATCAAATTTTCTTCTGCTTTACTATACAATCAAATTGTGTAAATGAACTTAATTAATTTTCTTCTGCCCCAAATTGTACAATCAAATTGTGTAAATTGAACTTAATTGATTTGTATTAATTGATACTTTGACCATCTTGAAATGGTACTCTATTTGGCTCTTGACCAACTGCCACGTACGTTCATTCTTTCTACCCATCTATTTTATTAGCCTGTGTTATCTCCATGGTCCATTATCGTCCAGTTAACCCATTACCCTAATGCACAATACACACAGTATTAGCATTGTTTACGCTACCACAGGAAAACATGATTATGTTGCACTAATATATATAATATAAAATTCATATCTTGAAATAGTAATGAAACAGGATCATGTAATGATCATGTAATCATTACGTAATAAGGCCATTGTGTTACATTCCTCCCTTGCCTAAGATTTATCGGGAGATCAATCCATATAAAAAGTTCCAACACAATAGGCCTGTAATTAAGTTTAACACAGTTCAATTAACACAGTTCGTTTATCACCACCTATATTACCTAAAAATATAAATTCACTTACAGAGATATAATTAGCACAGTTCTTCACAGAATATATATATAATTAACACAGTTCCTCAGGCACGGCCGAATACACAGAGAGTTCCAATCACAACACGTTTTCTTCTGGCTCTAGACAAATAGGTACTGTCTCTCCCTCGTCTAGCCCATCGCTGATCGGCAACGTTTTCAAAACTCCCTGACCTTGAACTTTGCACACAAGTTCTGCTCTAGGCACATTTGTCAGGTGGTATACATCCATGTATACATATATCTCCAATCCCTCTACACTGCCATGGACTGAAGGCAATCCCCATGCCCCTGTTAACGGGAGTAATATTACCTCCCTAACCAGTCTCATCAGTCCTTAGTTGGAATGCAGTCGGGTATATTGATGTTGTCATCCTCTGTGGCTCCGTCGCCTCTGTGCTCATGGTAGGAGCGCTTGGATTAACGTTATCCGATGGTGATGCTCCTTGTCTGTTCTGCAAGACAGCCATCTCGTAGCTGGGTGCAGCTCTGGCATCTTTCTTACCATACCTAAACATGGTCAACCAGTGCTTTTTCCCTTTTAACCTTTTACAATAACAGTAAATGAATATTACTAGCCCCACCCCTATAGCTATGGCCGCGCCAATGACAACCGTTTTCCACACCGGAAATGGTTCGTCTTTCTCAATAGATCGTAAGTTATGCAACGTTTTGATCAAGCCATCCATCGATATTTGCTGGATATCCTTTAAGGCGTCCGGCAGTTCTATACGGGTTACGTTAGGTAACGCGACACGTAGTGGTGTCCATAAATCACCACTAGTTACATTAGTATAGGTTTCAATCAACTTATCAATAGGATCAATGATGTTATATTGACTCTCTTTTTGCGAGGATGGTAACAGTGTTATGTAATCGTTGGAAGCCGAACACGAGTTATTTAAACGGACTACACCCATAGGTGGATCGACGTTAATAGTACGGTCATTAGCTTTTGCTATCCCGTTGTAGTTTTTACACACGATCGTAAAGCGCAGTCTAATCTGGGTGGCCACGAGCCACGCTCCTTCCGTTAAATACTCAGCTTTAGGTAAAATCGTATTGGGTTTGACCACTCTTCTACAATTACGTTTAATGTTCTTGGCTGATTTAGTAAATAGGGCTATCAAGCATAGTCTACTCAGGTTAGTCGGGTAAACGGGACTTTTAATGCTACAGTATTTCATGACAGGACTGATGCACTGTTTAGCTTCTTCCGAATTTAATAACACATAACGAGTATGTTCTGTGTTTATAGCGAATACATCTGTTTCCAGTTGATAACTAGCCACCATACCAGTCGTTTGAGAATCAGATACGATATTTGAAGGTCCTGGTAATGGTAAATTATGTATCTGATAAATGTCAAACCTGCCTCGGACGTCTAATAATGGAATTGATATTACAACTAAAATTTGATTCTCCTCCAACACCGTGGTGCACGTGAGGAATTTATAGAAATACCATAGTCTGGTATTTGGATCTTCGGGAAGTTTCAGAGTGCTTGGTAAATTAACTTGAACCGAATGGAGTAGTGTTTTAAGATTCCCCGGTGACACCGTACTTGGGGATAGGTGTCCCAGTGATAACATATTCAATTGTAAACCTAAACGTTCTAAATAGAACATTGCCCTTTGCATCATTTGTTTTAGGTCCTCTATTATTTTATCTAACCTCGCGTATAAGTGGACAGCTATATTTAAATTGTTTACTCTCTCGTTTAAAGTATTAGATATATTCGCCAGGTTCTGATCTAACTGCGCGACACTTGTCGCCAAATCATTTATCGCCTGTCTGTTCTGGGATATTTCTACCCGTGATACATTTAAGATTGACATGTTTTCTTCTAGAACATGTGCAATATCCTTCTGATTTTTACTTAACAAGGCTATGTTGCGGCGTATCGTATTCAAGTCAGATTCTGACACTGTACCAAACAGAAAGCTGAGCGCCTTTCCTATAATAGGTAATAGAGCTCGTTTCCGTCTAGACTGCTGATGTAACAATTTATAATCTAAGAAACTACCCATCACTGTATGCTGAGTAGTCCTGAGGGTCTCTAACATAGTTTTGAGTCCTTCAAACACATTTAAGAACCCAAATCGTTCTGGTGTATCATACTGTCGTACCACAGTAGTAGCTAATTGATTTGCCATTGCAATGTCGTTAGTTAAATGGGACATAAATTTCTCATAGGGGGCTAGATCTAGTACAAAGGTAACCAACCATCTTGATCTTGTGGCTGTTACTTCATTAACTTTGTGAAAAACGACATTTTCCTGTACAATAATAGCACTGGTTAGACCAATAATAAGTAATGGTAAGATAAGCTTCATTTTGCTTGATCGATCCTACAACAATAATATGCCAGTGATTATACAAACTATTTACAATTTTAAGGCCTATAATAGATCAGTTATTGCCTGCAACAGATGTTTAACTGATTTATTATTACTTCTTTTATATTCTTTACGTTTTACTATTGGTTTTTCCTTGACATAATCCACTGACATCAATTCCTCATCATCAAGCCCTGTAAGGCTATCATTACTGGAATGTTTTGACAGTTGATCATCACTTTGGGAGCCTGAACTGTCCGACCTACTATCCGCATCAATGGCTTTTGTATCACGCCGTTTTATTCTTTTGGCTAGCTCCATTAACGGAATATCTTCTTCCTCGGAAGAAGTATCCCGTTCCCTGCGGAATCTTTTAGCTATCTTAGCAAGCGGTGTATCGGAGTCAGAATCTGAAGATACCTCATCGCTGCTTCCGTCACTGTCTTTTGGTGGTGCTGCATATGTCGATTGTCTTAGTAACCTATCCTGACCCTTAGGTATTTCCCAGTCATCTATCTTTGCTAAACGTAAATGTTCCGCGTGAGCCTTTGTCGTGCGTCCGTCAAGTTGGTTCTTAATTGTAAAAGTCACTGGTGTGGTTTGTTCAATGATTCTATAGTAAGGTCGCCATTTTCCTTGCAATTTACTTTTCCTCAAATGGTTCTTGTAAAACACGGGGTCACCCACCTTAAATTCTAGCGGCTGACTATTTTTGTCGGCATATTTAGCCTGACGTTTCTTTGCCTTCTTTAAATGCCGGTGCACTAGAACGAAGGATTTATGCTGTTGTTCAAGCGCTATTTTGTGCTGTTCTTCCCCTAAGTATTTTCGTCTTGGTTTTAACAAATTGTCTACCGGAAGTACTACGTCTCTGTTATATAACAAGAAAAATGGTGAGAACTTTGACGACTCGCTAATATTAAACCTTACTGCTGCTAATGTTTGATTCAAATACAAGTCCCACGTTGTTAATTCATTGTCTAATTTCTTGGATAAGACGTCATGTAATGTTCTGTGAAACCGTTCTACTTTAGCATTACTCTGTGGGTGGTAATATGAAGTCTTAACATGGCTTATATTCAAACTTTCCAGAACGTGCTTTACGACCCGGTTGTCGTTTTCTGTCCCGTTATCTGTGATAATTTGTAGAGGCGCACCATATCGGGGAAATATCTCATCTATTAACAAATGAGCAATGTTTTCGGCTGACTTGTCAGGTACAGCAAATGCTTCTGGCCAACCACTGTAAATGTCAACAAAACTCACAATATATTTGTTTCCTGATAAACTTCTAGGATAGGGGCCTGATAAATCTAACCCTATTTTTGCGAACGGATATGGAGGTATGTCTGTTTCCTGTAGGGGAGGCTTCCTTTTCTTCAGACTACGAGTCTGACATATGACACAACTATTTATATATTCGTGCAACTGTTTGTATAAATTTGGCCAAAAATACTTTTGTCTAATGGCGTCAAACGTTTTGTCAATACCCACGTGACCATTGCCTTCATGGTATTGCGTAACCACTTCCCTCCTGACATGGTCTGGCACATACAACCTAAGTACGGGCTCATCATCGGGGTCAGAAATATAATATACTATTCCGTCCAATACTAAGTAATGTCTGTGCACCTGACTTTTGGCTTTACCGCTTTCTAATTGGTCCCTAATTTCCTGTATTTCTTTATCTTTCATTTGTTCCGTCATTAAGTCAAATCCTTTTAAATCATAAACAGTCTTTTCTGGGATATCTGACGTATCTAACTTACTACTAGCAAACTCTTTAGGATCAAATCTATTAGAATTCAAAGTACAAATCTCAAATGCTTTGTCACTTATGTCTGGCTCATAGGATATTTCGTTACTGTTGCCTAAGGTTTCCATACTCTGCGGGGTGCGTGACAATAGATCGGCACAACTATTCTCGGGTCCTGCTATGTACTCTACTTTACAGTTATAACCAGCTATGCCTAAAGCCCAGAGCTGAATCTTTTTGTTTTGCATAGGAGACTCTAAAAGGTATTTCAATGGTTTATGATCTGTTTTTATAACAAACTCTGCATTATGTAAGTAATGGTCCAATTTTTGAAGGGCATAATGGATAGCAAAAGCTTCCTTTTCCACTGTAGACCACCTTGTTTGTGTATCCGAAAGTCTGTGTGATAAATAATACACAGGTCTCTCTTCACCACTAAGAGTTTGGGTGAGACATGCTCCTACACAGCTGTCGCTTGCATCCGTATAAAGTGTATATGGCCGACTGGTATCTGGGTATACTAACAAGGGTACAACTGTTAAACTGTTTTTCAGAAAATCAAATGCCTCCTGGCATTCGGATGTCCATTTAAATTTTGCATACTTCTTTGTTAGATTAATTAATGGCTCTGCTATTTTAGAGAAATTAGGAATGAATCTTCGGTAGTAGCTACCCATACCTATGAATCCGCGGATCTCCCTGATATTTTTAGGAGCTGGCATTGCTTGTATGGCTTTTACTTTGTCTGGATCAGGTTTAACACCATTTTGGTCTATCACAAATCCTAAATATTTTGTTTCCAGTTGTGCAAAATAGCACTTTTTGAGTTTCAATTTTAAGTGATGTTCTCTTAGTCTATCGAACGTCTGTTGGATGTGCGTCAAATGTTCTGTCATGGTTGAGGAAAATATCAAAATGTCGTCTAAGTACGCGATAGCAAAATCTTCATAACCTTGCAATACTCTAGACATAAGTTCTTGAAATACGGCTGGGGCATTACATAATCCAAATGGCATTACATTGAACTCGTACAAACCGCGGTGGCAGCAGAAGGAAACCTTCTGTCGATCTTGGCGGTCCATAGCCACCTGCCAATACCCCGATTTTAAATCTAGAGTGGTAAAATACTTTGCTTTT